TTTAGCACTACCCCTGTTCTGTTCCTCTTTCTCCATGGTCTGACGCCCTTCCGTTCCTTTTTCTTGGTTCCGTTGGAGTCTTAAGTCCTTGTTATCTTTCAGGAGGTACCAACAATATGCTGACTCCATATTTGTGTGAAGTCAGTAGCTAGAGATCAGACCTTGGAGACTTTTGTACTGTATTCTACAAACCATGTTTCTTTATCAAAAGCAATCTGCTTGAAAGCCTCTTAATTCCTCCAGAACAGGGAGGTCAGCCTTAGACACCTTCTGAAGAATGTATTGCTTTTTACATTATTTTTTGTTGTTGTTTAATTTAAAAGGGCAATACAGTATTTTTCTTATCCTATGATTCTGGTGTCCTGATGTTCTGCACAAGAGACAGGGAGGGCCTTGTTCTCAGGAGGACTTGTGCATTTCCTTCATCCACCTCATGGCAGGTGGACATCTATGATAAATCAGAAGTGTTGCAGTATTAAGTAAAGTTTGTCCAAGTGTCAGACCAAGAGAGAGGAAAGGGGGGACAATAGGCAAAATTACAAACCCAGGTCTTGCTAAAATGAATCTAGAGCAAGGCACAGGCGGCCTTTGGAAATTCTGCACCAAATGCATTGGCTGAGAAATGGTGTAGAAAGTTTCTCCAAACTTCTTCTGGGAAAAGAGAAATTCTCCAACCATTTCTAAAGAGCAGGACTCTCCCTTTGCAGGGCCTGTAGCACTGCTGCTATAAAAAAAAAGTCCATGTATGGGATTTCATGGAAACCAATGGGGAACATGGAGCAGGAAACTTTTGGAAGAGGCTAAACAAGAAAAGACAGGACATTCATGAACACCCTTGGACTCTTCAAGTAACTGTAAGAGCACAGGGGCTATCTATTTGCTGGTTACTCTGTAAGTGCATGCCTCTTTCTCCATCGCAGCCCTAGGACCCGATCTTCTTGACCTCTTCTGTCCCTCAAGGGCTACAGTTTTATGCAGAAGTTCAGTTCAGACTCAGTCTCTGATTCATGGAATATGCTAAACCCTAAACCTCCCCAAATACAATTGATATGTTCCTCTGGCATGCATTGCTCAAACAGATGAACCATATTGTGGTTTAATATATTGGCCTGGTTCACACAACACGTTGAACCATCTGGTGGGGTAAATGGTGTTGGGCAGAGCTAGGCTAGATGTTGTTTTCTCAGATGTAAGTTCCCCATTAATGACTATCATGCCTCAGGGAAGTATAGCTACTAGAACTATGACAGCAAAGAAAAACTTTCCAATCCAATTTCTCTACACAACACTTAATGTTGCACACCAGTACCATATAATTCCCTGTCTTTTTCCTAAGCTAATTTCTCAAACACTGACATTTTTCCTTATAAAGGAGTTACTGCAGGCTGTGGTTAACTGGGCAGTTAATATTATTTGGAATAGAGGCATCTCATTCCCCTCTCTTGTCTTATAAAAGCACAGGGATACTTATCAGAGATAACCTTGAAGATTTTTTTTTTTTACTTTTCACTTTATAAAGGAAAGCTTCTAACAACACTGCTGTGAGATTATATGTATCAATTTGTCAAAAGTATTATTAGAGTCTCATTTTGATTATTCGCACACAATTCTATAGAGCAGAGTTTCTCAATCTTGGCAGCTTTAAGATGTGTAGACTTCAACTCCCAGAATTCTTGCTGGCTGAGGAATTCTGGGAGTTGAAGTCTACACATCTTAAAGTTGCCATGGTTGAGAAACACTGCTATAGAGCTTTGGGCCTCCAAACAAGTTTAGTTCCGCTAACTAACAATACAGGTAGTCCTCGCTTAACAGCCCTAATTGGGACCAGCAACTCAGTTGCTAGGCAAAGTGGTCATTAAGCAAAACATCACATGACCGCCCCGCTTAGCAACAGCAGTTCCAGCAGTCCCAGTTGCGGTTGTTAAGCAAATTACCCAGTTGTTAAGTGTAACATCACATGACCACAACTTGCAACCTCCTGCTGGCTTCTCCATTGACAGTGCTTGTCAGAAGCTGGTTGGGAAGGTTGCAAATGACGATCACATGATTGCGGGAACCTGCGAGCATTGCAAATGCGTGATTGTTGCCCAGCACCCAAATCATGATCATGTAACCATGGGGATGCTGCTATGTCCTAAGTGTGAAGACCAGTCGTAAGTCACTTTTTTCAGTGCTGTCATAAGGTCAAACAGTCACTAAACAAATGGTCGTTAAGCAAGGACTACCTGTATAGCTATATTCTCAAATTTCCCAGCCCTTAGATTTATATCATTATACAGCTACATTCAAATCAACGTGGGTTCTTTCCATAGATGAATTTCTTGCACGTCCCCCTGTCCAATTTCATTCTCTTTTCTGTGAATTGAAAGGCCGACTTTCACAGACCAACTCTAATAGTATACAAAATGCACAGCGCTTTATTTCACCACATAAATGGAAAGGACTAAAAACAAACCCCCAAACTTCTATATATTAATGTAAAAAATCTGTCTATTTTTTTCTGTTCTTCAAATATATACACATCCTGATACATATAAAGAAACAAACAGCTACAAGTATTCCCAGGAAAACACAAAAAAGGCCTTTGACAGGATAAATGGAGAGATGATGAAACAAAGAAGAAGCAGTTATGGGCACACTGTACCACTGAAACATTTTCCAATAGAAATATACATCAGTTAAGATGTGTAATTTCAAACAATTGAAAATATTCAAAACATTAGCTTACCTCCATCAAGCAACAGTTAGTCATGACTAAAGCTACAATCCTATGTACAATTTCTTGGAAAAACATTCAGCTTTGTGGAACTTCCTCCTGAGAGAATAGAAATATAACTGCAGCAAACATCCCATTGCACGCTGATTCCAGAGAATCTTTCTACATATGGAAGAGATTTCTAGCTTAATACAAGATACTTGAAAAAGACACACGAAGTAAAATTCAGAGGTGCGTCCTGTTGCACCATCTTTTGCACAGAAGGTTTCACAAGTAGGGCTATCATCTCTGGGCTGCAAAAATCCAGATGAACGCTAGAAGGAAGCAAAGAATTACAGAAAACCTGCCGCTCGCTGCCATCTAGCAATTCTCCAGATGTTTGCAGCCCAAATATGGCAGTCTATTCAAGATGTCTGCTAATGCCCCATGCTGCACAATCTTTTGCAGAGTTTCTGGCAAAGTCATAAACCAATAGCCCTGTTCGTTTTTCATATGCATGTTTTACATACCAAACCACTGTGGCTTATAAATCATGGTTTATGGCTTGCAATATGGGCACCCAGACAATCCAACAAACTATGATTAAAACAAGCCTGGGTTAGTACTGTGCATGAACCCTGTCATTGTCTTTCAGTGTTAGAATTTCTTCCAATTGGATAAATCTGGATGCAATCAATTTAACATGATAGGACATTCTACGCAATCTGAGTTGTGAACAAATCCTACGAATCTTACGGGAACTTCTGAGCAAAAACACGTAAGACTGAGCTGCACATTGTAACTTCCGAAGGAGCGTGTTCAACATATATTGTTGTCATTTAGGCTTTATCTTTTTTTTTTTTTCCTGATAAGTGATGCTTCCAAAAGCATAGAAAGCTCTATTTATTTTAGGACACGTTGAAGACATTGGGAACCTCCCCTTCTACAACTCTTCTATACAACAGTCCATTTAAACAAAGTTTTACACTTTGAGAGATGCTTGATGAATTACTTAATAAAATATATTTATTGCTTAAGACATTAAACAGCATTTGGGGGTTAAAAAGAAAGTATATTTTCCTCTTCTTTCCACCAAACAAGACATTGGGCTCAGCAGTTTATTGCATCGGTTACCTATCAGAAGTCGCCTGCACGATCCGACACAGATCACAAGTAGGCCTGTGCACAGATGCCATGGCTAACTTCCAGGACACTTTCTCGTGGCATCTCTATCACGGAATCACAGGAGAGAACAAAAACCACACACTGATTTCCCAACCCTTCTGCTTACTTTGGAAAAGTGCATCTTTCCCATCACCCTTCTATACAGTACAGTATCTACAATCATGTCACCTCAAGTTTCCAGGAAAAGGAAAACGAACAAGTGTACAAAGAACAGGGCCAAGTCCCCAGCTGGGATGGATCCGTGGGATGTGGAATGGCAACTGGCCCTTACGAGGAACCAGCATCGATTCTTTTTCAGTTCAATCCATGATCACATCCAGCCCAAAGTCCAGTCGGTGCCACATCAGATCTGGCCAACCTCAGCTCCTGCCTCTTTTTCTTGTCCGCCTCTTGAGAACAGCTAGGACCGGATATCTCCTGGCCAACCATGGATTTGTGACGTATCTTTGAAGCCACTTCTTCCAGCTTCTCCAAACATCCAGTGCTTACTTAATCCCAGTGTGCTTGGACCGGATGGTCCTAGTTATTTTGCCAGTGTTAGTCCATGAATCTAAAGCTGGAAACGCAGCCCCCTCAGATGGAGTCTGTCAAAGGTCCAAAGTATCCCCTCTGACACATGTTGACTTTCACAGAGAAGTACAGGTAGTCCCCGGGTTAAGAACGCCCAGTTTAAGGATAACCCATAGTTAAGAACGGAGCCTCTTGTAGCAAAATTTGAGTTAAATACACAATGATTCGAATTAAATACACAATGGTTCGAGTTCATTACACAATACTACTTATACAGTATTATACAATAAT